GGACTGCGACCATCCAACCAACACCACCGCAACCACCACCGCCAGCGCCAGCGCCACCGCCACCCGCCACCACTGCCACCGCCACGACGTCGACTACTATTAGACTTCTGCTGCTGCTGCTGCTGCTGCTACTACTACTACTACCACTACTACTACTACTACTACTACTCCGACTCCTACTCCTACTCCTACTCCTTTTCCTACTCCTACTCCTACTCCTACTCCTACTCCTACTCCTACTCCTACTGCTACTCCTACTGCTGCTACTACTACTACTACTACTACTACTACTACGACCAGCACGACGACCACGACGACGACCACGACGACGAGCACGACGACGACGACGACGACGGTTATATCGGGCCGCGGCTACGGGGAACACAGAAATTAGTACTGCGATCCTCCGGCTTGTCATACACTTCATCTACTTCAGGTGCGGGGGGTTTATATAGGGTCTAGGGCAAGCGCTGTTTGACGTTCCAGGCTCAAAACGTCCCCAAAGAGGGCCTGAAAACCCTCAAACCCCTGAGCGCGAGGCCATCTGGGACCGTGATGGGAGCGGAGGGCCTTTGGTTCGCGAGAGGCCCAAGATAAGGATGATGGGATGGGGTGATGTTGATTGTGAACTGTGACGACGGAGAGGAGCTTGATTATAGTAGTGGTGATGACGAACATGCTAATGACTTGCCACTCGACTCATGTTCCATCTTCATTGCGCTATTCGCGTTGGTTCTTTTCCCCACGTCTTGAAGGTGCAGCACGTCGCGTCTGCTGCGCCTACACACATCCAAAAACATTGCCGACTCAAGCTAGTGAAGCTCATCTTTGAAGCCCACACCAGTCGTAAGGCGATTGCAACACGTGCCTCTCTTCAAGGTAGACCTAGATTTGGCATCGCATATCGCCATGGTAGTGATAAGGCTGTCCAGGTAGTGTGCCTGCGCCCTTCTTCTGGCACCCTCGCCGCAAGGAGTCGCAGCTGCTGGTTGCTGGTAAAGTGATTTCCGATGTCCGGGTTCCTTCAGGACAAACGCAGCAGATCCATCCGCTTTCTGAAGTGGCGCCGTGCTGACTCTCGGCGGTGAGGTGCTCCGACACGTCTCGCTCCGCGGTGCCAGCGTGCCGCGCTGCCCCAGCGAGACTCGCAGGACCTGTCCACAGCATCATGGCTAGCAACAGCATGCAACGCATCCTTCTAGATGTGGTAAACAACGGCAAGGCTTCCTCGATTGAGGCTGAAATATGCTGCGGCGGAGGTCCACAAGCTTGACATCTCAAGCTGGGAGGATGAGGCGTTGGGTTTGCACTCTGAAGTGTATGTTTCGTTGGCTTGGGCTACAAGCAGCTGGGCGGCATTCATACATTCAGGAGAATCGGAATGAAAATAATTACAACGCAGCCTCATTCTTCTGCACTAGCCCGTTGTCTTCTTCGCGCTGAAGATCTTACCGGCGCCCCTACTCGCAATCGCAGTCAGACAACCTGTTCAAGAAGGCGAACAACCCGAATTGCACAGGTCATCATCTCGCATCAAACAGAAACTGGATTTAGGCAGGCACGGCTTCGGGTTTAGAGTACCCGAGTGACTCTCACTCTGTAGTCAGGACTTCGAAAGACCACATAACCAAGAGTCAACCAGCTGAGAACCTGGCTGCTGTGACCGCTCGGGCGTCTGCACGGAGCAGCGGCTTCGCTTTGAGGCTTGCAGGTGCTAGCCCGAACAGTTTATTCGGGATTAAGGGTGTCGGGTTGAAGAATCGCCGAAATCGTTCACACAAGGTTCTGGGACCAATAAAGACGGTCCGCTGCATCACTCTGCAAGGGGACCATGATGGAAATATATGGTTTGGTCATGAATGTGGACTCTCTTTTGTAATGACCCCGACCCTGACAGCCATGGCCTTTAAAAGAGAAGCCCGACTTTATAGGTGTAGCCCCAAGAAGGCCGGACTCTCCAGGCTAAAGAGCTCCAAACGTAACCGAATTGGGAACCTCATCTTCCAAAATCCAAGCCTAAAAACACAAAGAAACAAAAAAAGGATAGCCTCAAAGGGCCCGGTCTTCGCCGCGAAGGAGGGCGGCTGGCTGGGTCCACCCCAGTGGGGGGGCGGCGCACCTCAGGGGTCTCACTCAATGATTTTCACCAGGTTCTATGCGGCGTTGCTGCGTAATTTTGATAGCTCACAGGGCTTTAGGGGAGTTGTGCGCTTCCTGTTGGATTTAGGTGTCTTGTTTGCGGCCTTGGGGATTGCCTCCTGAAACTTCGGGGTGAACTTTCATGCCTGCATGTTTGACGCGAGAACTCACACATTCCCGAATCAGGTCACTTGGGCTTTTTCCCTAAACCCTAAACCCTAAACCCTTTTGGCTGGCAAAGGTGTGAAACATCGCTTGTAGGGTCTTGGGGGCGTAGAGGTTTTAGGTGTTCGGAGGCTCGGGGACAGAGGGGCTCCAAGGAAAGAGGCCATAACAGCCCCGAGCCCTCAAAGAAAGCCTTCAGGCTCGAGTTTGGGGCTTCGGGATGTGGCGTGCACCAGTATGGCGGGGTTTAGAGGCAGAGGGGCCGTAGCCTAGGGGCTTCAAGCCGGAATCGGTACCCTAAACTCGGAAACTGCACCGCGTCAACGTCTTAAATACAAGAAAACAACATACCAACCTATTAAACCTCTCAACCGGTGCTCATCGTGGGAGGCGCCTCCGCCCGCGACGCTGCCTCCCCAGTGGTTCGGTGGCGCTGTGGGGGGCGTCCACGTACCTCTGAGGGTCGCTGCGCTGAACCGGGCATGCATCGTCCTCTTGTTATGCGGGCTTAGGGTTTAGGGTATTCCATGCGTGTTTTGGGAGCGGTTCAACTTTTCAGGGTTGTGACGAGGATGCAGGAGTGCTGGAGGCAGTCGGTGAGTCGGTGAATCTAAACTGTCATGCGTTTCGGTGCTTTAATCTGAAACTTTGTTTGTGTTTGTTCAAGGTTCAAAACCTGCTGGCCTTTTTGAGCTTGCAACTTGATAAGCTTTCAATTCTATGCAAGATATGTTACGGGTTGGGGTGTAGTTTCCAGGAGAGTTGACAATCTTGTGGCAGAAGTGCCTGGTGGTAGTAGTTCACAAAATTCACGTTCTTCGGGGCGACCATGGACCACAACGCCTAGCGCCGAGCCCTGGTGCTTGGGACGACCCAAAGCTCAGTAATCGCCAGGGACCCCAAGGATCCCCAGGCAGACTCTATCTTAGGGTTTAGGGTTTAGGGTTTAGGGTGGGAGCTTCCGAAAATAAGGGGTACCGTATTTTGGGAGTCCTTATAATCAGGATCCTACCGTTTAGGGTGCTATTCTATTAGGGTCCCCTATCTTCTAAAACCCCCCGATCTGTATACGGTATATCCTTCTTAAGTCAGCTCTCTTCGGGTTTCAATTCCTGGGTGAGGATGAACAGAGCGCAGAGACTGGAGACGGAGTTGCGGTGCAGCCCTTGATCAGAACAACCCGAACCCAATTCCATCCGAACCCTAAACGTAAACCCTCCACCCCAAGCCCTGAACACTGAATTGCCCTGAATGAATCAAGCGCCTGGTTCCAGATTCAAGGCTCAAGGCTCAGCACTTCGAAGCTGCAAACCTTTGAGGAAGCCTTAAGGCTTCGGCCCCCAAAAAAAAAACTAAAGTACAAAGGCGTTGGCAGAGCCAATTGAAACCTTCATCGTGCCTTTAAAGGAACTGACTCGTAGCGGCACACCCACATCCCGCACACCCCAAGTCCCCCAAATGCCTGGCGCAGGCGTTCCGGCGGGGCCTGGGAAGGGACCCGACAGACATGCTGGGACTCCAGAGTTTAGGATGTGAGGCCTGGGCATGTCTGGCCTTCATAAGCCAACAGAAGCAATGCCTCTTTCCCTTAGGAGGGTTGCCGGGAATGAGCAGGGGCCTTGCTCGCACAGAGATGCAGCTAGAGTCTGCTATAGCTCTGACTCCGACTGCTCCAGTCGGTAGCCGTGCCGGCGCAAGATCATGGAGGCATGCTCCACGTGGGGCAGGTCCTGCTCCAGCAGGCAGGACCGTATTCTCTCGAGATCGCCGGGTCCCTGAACATGCTGCCAGAAGGCGGCATGATCTTGAACTTGCCATTCTGGGTACTTGTTGCTCAACTCTGTCATGAACTCGCTGGAAACATGCACCTTCTGCTTGGAGGAGATTAAACTGGCGAAGGAATCACATAAGCGGAACCTCCGGACCAACAACAACTCCATTACCGGTGCTTCAATAGAACTCAGGAATAAGAACCCGGATATGAAGAAGGCCATTCCGGAGAGCCACCAGTTCCAGCTCTGTGCCAGAATCTGTGGCTTCACGGGGCTCTGCCTACACAGATCGCGTAGGGTTGCAAGGCTGCCTGCAGCACATATGGCTGCAAGAGGCAAACCTTCGCCATGCCGCTTGCCAACGAACTTGTCATAGCAGCACTTCATAAGTACCAAGGGAGGAGCAACCGCTGCGAGAAGGCATACCGCTTTTAGGAGACCAGTGATCCCAAAAGACCATTCCTTCGACATCGTCACCTGCAAAAGCTTTCGAAATAAGGGGCCAGCGACCATTGGCATCACTAGCATGTTCATGGAGCCATTCCAGCATCTCGTGAGTATCTCCAGCAAGGTTCCATACTCATCCATTACTCGAAAGGAAAGCGGCGGCTGATCCTCTTGTGATAGACTCCGGTCTCCGCAGACGCCCACCGTCAGCAACGATGATGTTGGATGCTGTGGAGCTGTTGCTTTGACAAGTCTCGCTTCTACAGCAGAACGCACACTAACGAACAGGCGTTCGTTCCTTTTCCACTACCCGCGGAGTGTTGTGGCGTTCGGTCTCAGACCCCCTGCTCGAGCCT